AAATAAGAAAGAAAAATAAAACAATTTGAGTGAATGAAATAGAAAATGTTTCGTTCTTTTCATAAAGCTAACTCTCATATTTTCAAAATAAAAAAAATATATATATATATATAGAGTATATAAATATTGTTTAACGAACGACAGAGATATATGCGTATTATAATGTATTCAAATGTTTAGTTATAGATGTATATATATATAAATAAATATATATATATATATAGAATATTTGGCTCTCAGATGAAAGTAACCTAACGATAACGAATTGTTTTGTCTCTCTCTCCTTAACCTGTAAAACAAACTAACTAACAGATGTGGGCCAAGGCCTACAAAGAACTATGTATACTTTCATATATAGATATATATATATCGAAATATACACGCATATATATATATATATGTCTATATATATCTATTGCTGGGTTTGGCTGCCCACTTGGCCTGCTCATCTTTTGCGCTTTCCTTTGTCAAAACTTTTCTATTTTCTCGGTGAATAGCGAATGAAAACATTTTTTGCTTTTTTTGTTGTTTTTAAATAAAATATATAGACTTTGCAGTTATTTATAAATTTTACGTGTAAAATTTAATAATAAAATCAACTAGAAAACTAGCTGAAACAAGTTGGCGCTTCGACAATTGGATTTTGAACTATCCCTAAAAATGAGGCGTGGTTCTTGGTAGAAGAAGTTAAGAGTATTATTTTTGGTGTTTGTTCTTGTGCTTGTTCTTGTTCTTGTTGTTATTGTTGTTGTTTAACAAAAAGAGATTATATATAAATATATCTGAGATTTACATATGTAAAACGAGCATTTCTTTTAATTACGTTTATTATTTTTTTTGACGATTTTTAAAAGTTTTGTTTTGTTTTTGTTGTTGTTGTTGTTGTTGGTTGTAATATGGATGCTGAGTTAAGAGTTAGGATGTGTGTTGTTTCTGTGGGTCGGCTGCTGCTTAGGCGGCTTCCTCTTCCTCCTCATCACCCTTGCCGGTGAGCATTTCGATCAGGGATGCGGTATCGATTTGATTCTTGTCATCAATGACCATCTGATCGAAGGCATCATCGACCTCCTTCATGGTGAATTTGTCACCGAAGCCCATGAGCATTTCGCGGAATTTATCACCATCGATGAGACCATCGTTATCGAATGTTTTGAAGGCAGCAATAACAACATCGTCTTCATCGTTGGCACCAGAGGTGGCCATACGGTTGGCGAACAGGGTCAGCAATTGGGTGAAGTTAATTGGACCGGAGGCTTCGCCCAGCATGGCGTCCAACTCCTTGTCGTTGGCGATCTTGCCAACGGAATCGAAGGCAGCGCGCAAATCGTTCTTGCCAATAATACCGTCCTTGTCGGCATCCATTAGTTGGAAGGCCTGATTCACAACGCAGTTTAGAATGGAATAGCGCGCGAGCGACACACAGAGCGAGAGAGAGAGAGAGAGAGAGAGAGAGAGAGAGAAAGAGAAAGAGAGGTGGTTGGTGATTTGGTCTTGTTGATGGTATCATGGATGCGACATGGCTAGGTCGGGGTAGCTCTGGCTGAGTGGGTCTCTAGCTAAATACTCACTTCCTTGAATTCGGCAATCTGCTTCTGGGAGAAGACAGAGAACACCGAGGAGCCGGCGCGCTTCGATTTCTTTGAGCCACGCGAGCCGCCCGACGCTCTCTTCGAACCAGTAGCAGAAGCTGGGGCAGGAGTTGCAACTGGTGCGGGGGTTGCTGCCTCCGACACTGCCTCAGAAGCGGTTTCTGAAGTACCACCCTCTTCCTTGGTCTTCTTCTTCTTAACCTTCTTCTTCTCATCCGCCTGAAAGTTGATAGAAGAAACAAAGATTTCCATTAAGCATTTCGAAAAGATTTCATAAGTTCTCCTCAAACTTCTTCAATCTAAAAATATTCGACGCGCATTACGTAAGCTCGTTGGCTATATGCCGCTCGCCTCGGCTAGATCATATTACTGTTCCGACCGATCCATTTATAGAATTTCACGTAAGTGTGTGTGTGTGTGTGTGCGCGCGTGCGTGTGCTTAAAGTAAACTTTTCACACACGATAAAAATAGTTTTTCATTTGTGATTTTCCATTCTTGAACTAAATAGAAATAGATATAGGCATATCCATCGGCCGTTGGCACAATAATCCACAAACGGGTGAGTCATTGAGGTCATTTAACGATATTCACTTTCTTTACTTTAATAATATTCTCAAATCATAGCAAAACTCAAACACTGCACAACTTATTGATCTTTAGATATAGATATGGATAGATCGCGAGTCCTTTACTGGTGCTAGATCCCGAGTCTCCTTACCATGGTGCTGAACTTTGATGTGTTGTCTAATCGAGTCGAGCGGTCAGAGCACACTGAAACTCTGGCTGATTTTATCGCCAAGACAATGATGTTTTAAGAACTTTTTTCTGGCCGTTTCTTCTTCCTAACCCGACGCCGAACGTTCGCCCGAGCGACGAAAATGAACTTCGGCAACGATCGTCTCGCTGTAGCTATAGCTATAGCCATATTGCTGTATCTGTATCGTGCTGCCTTTTTTAGTATCTGCAAGGCGAGGTGCGCCCAGGCGCCGAGTGGGTTGCGGGTGGTGGCTCGGTGGCCGTTGGCCGTTGGCTGCTGGCGGCTGGCTGCTGGCTCGGTGGTTCGAAATGTTTACTCATCGTGTCGCTGCTCTAATCAAAAATCTAATTTTAACGGTTGTTTCTCTGCTTGAATAGATATATGTATATATCTTAGCATTTGGTATATACATCAGTTGTTGAATTTTGAAATTTATTTTCGTGTATTATGAACAGATATGTATTCTCTATGCGTCGGCCTATTATGCTGTCTATATACATTCCCAATGGCCAACGCAAAACTTGTTTTGTATTATTCATCTTTGCTCTTGAGGCGTTTGTCGAAGGTGTCCTCTTGCTCTGCAATCACCTACATTTCGTCCCTTGCCCACACATCCCCATACATCGTATATGTCCGCAAATACCAGCATTCTATATAGTATAGATCGGCTGTATATACACGATCTTCGCATCTTACCTTGTCTATTTTCAACGAGCTGGCATTTCGTGTGTTTGCATATTGTGCAATATAAAAGAGAGAAGAGCGCTGAGAATTCCAAAGCCACAAAAACATCTCGATACTTTATTTCATGTCTCGTACATAACAAAGGAAATCGGATTTTCCAACATCATCTTTGTCTTTTCTGCATATAAGTTTTCCATTGATATTGCATAATATCCTTAGATACATGAATTATCAACAAGTTAAATGAACTTCACTATGATATATATATATTAAAATTCTGCTGGATAATAATTAAAGAATTTTTTAATGAAAATTAGGTGAATTAAATTCTTATAGATTTATTGCATATATTTATTATAGTTTTGTAATAAATATCTACGCTTATATTTTTTGGTATCACCAAGAGGAACCTGAATCTTAACTGCATACATGCATTAAATTTTTTTTAAATATTAATTAATATTATAAATTTAAGTATTTACTATAAATCAAGTATTTGAAACAAACTTTCTTTTTTTAATTAATATTGTTAAATAAAATAAGTATTTATTAAAATTTAATTTTTCATTTAAATATACACCAGTTTATTTATTTATAAAATTATGTTTTTATTTTATTTATTATTTTATTTAATATTTTTTAAAAATTAGAATTTTCTTATAAACCAAATTTTTTAAATTTATTTCTTTTAATATAATCCCTTTTTGTCAAAATTTATTAACCAATATTATTTTAACTTTCTTTTTAATATTTATTTTTAATTTAATTTTCTTTAATAATTTTATTACTTTAGTTTTTATTTTAGGGTTCCATGTTTAGAATTTTATATTCGTAAACCCAAGAACTTTTTGCAGTTAATTTGGTTCAATTTTAGAACCCACTGTTCTTTAAGATTTATCATATATAAAATAATTAAATATAAATATATAATATAAAACTAAATTTTTGACATTTTTGCATAGAATATTGGCTATTTCTTCCAGTTTTAAATTGATAAACTATATGAAAAATTAAAAAAATTAAGAATTATTAATATTTTATTTTAATATATGTTTAAATATACTATATTTTTGATACATAATTTCTATTCCTTAATTATTGTCTGGTTGGTTTACAATTTGATATAGTTTTTAATAAGATTTAGCTTAGATCTAAGATTCTTTTGAGTGTTTGGTTATCATTTATTTTTATTATTAAATAAACAAAACATTAATACATTTTTACCTATTCCACAAACGTAAAGTTCAAAAATCTTTCATTTAGAGAAAAACCTATTTAGAGTTCAAGCCCCCATCTATCAGCTATGGCCAGTTTAACGATTGATTCTAAATGAATTTACTTCAGTAAGTTTTCAACATAAAAAAAAATAACAACAAAATATGTTATGATTGGCTAAAGGTTTTTGTACAGTTTTCGAAAATATACAAATAATTTGCTGCAAGAAAAAATAATAAAAAAATTCTTTAAAAATGTTCTTATTATTTATATTCAATAACGATTCCTTTAATAAATATGCCCCATTAAATGAAAAAATTTAACAAAACTATTTGATGGATATCAAATTCCCAAACAGAAGGCAACGATTAGAATTTTGAATTCTCAAGACCAGCCAAGACGGCTGTCTGTCCAAAAATGCATTGATAAATCATCACGTAGACATAATTGAAATTGTATTTAGTTGTTGTTGCCATTTTGAAAGTGATTCTGAACAAAATCTTAAAGTGTTTCAACATTTGGCATGTAACCAGGCGACGCATTGGCTGCAAGCCAAGCGAATGAAAAAGATGAATGCCTTTCTTCTATGCCAAATTAAAAATAATGCAGAATAGTGCAGAAATTCAAGAGATACCGAAAAGAAGATTGAAATCCATCGCGCTCTAGTATACAATTTCTGAAGGCAAACATTTGACGCACATTTGCATTTTACAATCTGAAATATGAAAATAGCAAAATTACAACTAGAATAACAACACTAAAGGTAACAGGAAAGGCGCAACCTACGCATAATATTTGTTTATCTCAAGATACTCTAAATATACATATTTACAAGGCAAATTAAACTTGTATATACACAATTCTTAACATTTCTGTATGCTTAAGTATATGGCGTCTATATCAATATATGGTAAATAAACGAACTTTTTTCTATGCCTTGCTAGCCTGGTCGACATGGACGTCATTGGGAAGCAGCTGTATTAAACGTAGCCATTAAAATTCTACATGGCGAGTGAAAGAGAGCGTCAGCTCTCTATGTACCACATTCCTTTAGCTATTCACTCGCTTGCCTTGGGCCTATGTCCAAAAATAGCTGTGCCAACGCGCACTATAGTGCTGCCCATTTCGATCTGCAGAGAAAGAATAACAACAAAAACCATACATACATATATATTTATATATGACAGCAAGTCGAACAAAGCCACTGCTTGGCTTACTACGTACCGCTCGGTCATAGTCATTGGACATGCCCATTGACACTTGCACCGCATCAGCTGGCAATGAATTGGCTTTACAAATGTCGTGTTGCGCCTGCATCAGAGCCACAAAGTCCGGATTAGGTCCACTGCTATAATCAAAGCCATACGCGCCAATTGTCATAATTCCTACGGGCTGCAGATGCTTCAGATTTCTGCTGATATACTGATAAAGAGAAGGCGCAGCGCTGACCTCAATGCCGCTCTTAACTGCATGGATTAAGATAAAAGTGTTTGTTAATCAAGGGTGTTACTATTTCCTCGTAAAGCTTTTACCATCTTCCCCGCTGGTGTTGATTTGCACAAGCACGCGCAGCGGCTCTGTGGGCTCGGGCTGTCGCTTAGCCCAGGCGGCATCGATTCCATTGGCGAGCTTCTCGCTGTCCACCGTTTGAATCATGTACAGATTCGGTAGCTTAAGTACCTGTTAGGGAGATGTTACGCACATTAGAGATATGACGACATTGAGTGACTAGCTAAGGCACCTTGTTGATTTTGTTACTCTGCAGATGTCCAATCAGATGCCATTTGATATCTGGACAATGTGTCAAAATATCTGGATGTTGACTTTTCTCCACTAGCTCCTGTACATAGTTCTCCCCAAAATGACGCTGACCGGCATTATATGCCTCGATAACACACTCAACGGGCTTTGTTTTGCTTACAGCCACCAGTAGAGGTTTCGGTGTATTAATTTCCTGATAAGAAAAATCATTTTTGACCTTCGTTTGTTTACTGGTATTATCAATTGTAATTGTACCTTTGGACGATTTTGCAACACCGACTCGATACGTTTTAATACATGCTGTAGGCCGGCGTTAATGTCAAATTCGGCCATTGTGCGACGTAGCATCTAATTTTTGATTCCAGTTTAAATGTAAGCTGTTGTTATAATATTTGCTAATTTTACAAAACATGTTTTGGCAAATTATCGATAACAATGGTAGGAGTTCGATAAGTCGGCATGGGCATTTGTGTATTTTAATTTCAGTGTTTCATTTAGTATTCGTATTTTGGTATTTTATAGTTATAGAACATTAGTCTTTTGGAAAGAAATTCAAAAATAAATTACGACAGGCTCTTTTTTTTAATTTGATATTCCGTAGACTTAACAAAAAAAATGTTTTCATGTAGTTGACACATAAAACAGTTCCCTTAGCTAATTCGTACATGCAGAATGGGTGATGCATACCAGGTGATGCGCGATACAGCTGACAAGCTCGTTAAATATTTACAATCCATAAACATTGCTGAAATACGCCAATCCATGGAATTCATTGGCGCACATCAGGTTGAGGTTGTCGTAGGCGTATTGGTCTTCCTGGCACTGCAGTTCACCAAATTCACCGCTGTACTATTGCTTGCCTGCCTTATAGCATTTACAATCTTCTATATGGTAAGCATACCTGTATCTGTGTGTATAGAAAAATGGTAATGTACTAAAGCATCCTGCAATCAACAGTGGGACACACTCTTTCCTGATCTGACAGATGACTACTATCAAAAACGATTCATCAATGGGCCCGATACTTATGGCGCTGGCTATGGTCCTCGCTATGCCAACGATCGGGCCGTTGGCACTAGCACGCCCTATCTAAATTTCCAGGCTGCCGCTCAAGACGCTCGCACGTCCGCCTTATTCCCACCATTCAACGCTACCGATGAAGATCAGTTGCACGGTGATCCAAAATCTAAATGAATATGCAAAAAACCCATAAATTATAATTTTGCTTTTAGGCGATCCCTCAGGCTATCAGGATGAGAAAATGGAGTTTCTTAGGGATCGTGGGGCAGCTGCACCTCCTAGCCGAGATCGTATGCGTCCGCAGAGAAGATCTTACCTATCGGGTCATATGACCCCTGTTGGCCACAGAGGCTCAGTCAGTGATCTACGATCCCATCGACGACCATACAATCAAATCGATGAATACCGATATTTGCGACGCAGTGAACGAGCAAACGATCCGCAAGTGTTTCGCAGGATGATTGCAAGCGAATATCGTGCTTATCGACCAGGCACAGCAACTGAAAATCTGAATCATCACCGACATCAGTATCCTAACGATGAGACGAAAATGAAGCGAATTGGCACACAGAGCACTGCCGACGATAAGCAGTCCAAAAACCGAAGAACCTCAGACAAGTCAACCTCACATAAGCGATATGTATCCAGCGAGATGCCGGAACGTTATAGATATGGTTCACGGGACAATATGATGCGCAGATTGCGTCATTTCTCGCAAGGACCCTTGCCACATTCCAGTGGAGCCCATGGTCGTTTCGATACCAGCGGTCTTCACGGCAATACCGAAGGTCGAGGCACGAAACGAAGAGCAGGTGAGATCGCAGTCAAAAAAATAATTTTCAAAAACTATCGATAGCAAATTTTGTCATTTTAGATTACCAGTATTCAAAAAGAGAAAGCCGTTTGGGGCAATAATATTATGGATAAGATAAATGGTAATAAATCTTCCCAAAAGGATCAAGAAAGTAAATTGTACGTATGTCGAGAAACTGATTTATATTATTAATTTATGCAATTTTCAAAGGACATGTGATTGCGGTAAGGCAGTCGTTGATAATCGTTGCGATTGCGAAGATGAAAAAGCAAATCCCGATATCAAATCAAATATCAGTTATCCATATGTTATCGAACCGGTATATGACAGCAGCGAGAGGATAGGGACTGAAAAAAGAGAAATTGAACAAAATGAACTACCTATAAGTAACAAAACAGGGAGCAATACAAAATAAGTTAATGCTACAGATAAATATTGATGTGATCAAATGCGCCTTAAAAAACAACAAACAACAGTATATTGTAATTTGAGTCATTATTTTCAAAATTAAATTCTAAGTGATTAAACGAAAAGTTGTTCTCTATGGTTAGGGGATGAATGAACAAATGAAGTAGAACAAATGAAGCTTACGTCACTAGTAGCGCCATCTTTATAGCATTATTTGGTATAGGTATGTTGGTATTTTTTAAGAAATTTTCTATTTTACAGACGCGACCACACTGCATGGATTTTGTTTATATATGTGGAAAACAGAAATAAATGTCTAATTTACAATTAACACAGGAAAGACTGTAAGTAAATAATAAAATTAGACGATTCATTACATATAGAGATATATATATTGGATCGATTTTATCGCAGCGATGCATTGCGCTCAGAGTACAGACCACGCAGGCCATGCGCATTGCTCAAGTATCCACGACCGAAAACAAAGCCCGAATATCAATCTTTATATCCGTGGATAATACTCGATGAAACGGATCCTCATTTTGTATTCTGCGCCCTTTGCGAATGTCGCTTGAGCGCCAAACGGTCAGATCTGGGCAAGCACGAGGGCAGCATAAAACACTCGGAAAATGCTCAACGCAAATCGTTCACATCGAAAACGCAGAAATCATCGAATGGCATCAAGTGGGAATACAATGATGAGAGCAACGACGAGAGCCTCTTGCCCATGCAGTTTGCCACAGGCAGTGTTCTGTGCAAGGCAGAGCCAGGCAACGAAGATGACGACGTGGCGGGTGAGGGCGAGGAGGAGGGAGAGGAAGAAGACGAGGACGAAGACGAGACAGCAGATAATGAAGTACCGCAGCCAGATGCAAATGGGGACGCTGATGCCGATGCTGATGGTGTATACGAGCCGACCAGCAAACGTCGCGCTTCGGAAACGGATTCCCAGCACTCCGGCCTGTTGGACTACTTGCCACTGCAGGTAACCATCAACGAAATGCCGCATGGACAGTTAATGCCAGCCGCCCAGCCGGCAACAACCACGCCCCAGCCGTGTCGCATCACAATTAAAAAGGTGACAGCACCGGCACTGGCGAAGATGACCAGCAGCACGAGCACGCCCATTAGCAATCATGAGATTACCTCGAAGGCAACCATAACGCCCATTGCTGGTGGGTGCTACAGTGCGTTGCGGCAGCCGCAGATGCAATCGTATGCCTCACGGCAGCTGCAGTCCTATCAACTGCAGCATCTCACCTCAATTGAGTCGCCGCCGCGTGATTCGCTGGATCTCTTCTTTGACAGCATTTGCGCCACTGTCAAAGGGCTGCCGCCCAAATTGGCCACCGAGGGCAAAATACGCGTCATGCAGCTAATTGGTGAACTCGAGCTGCGCGCGCTAAACGAACGCGATGCATTGCCCACAGGCTCAATGATCGATCCGGCAGCAACGGCAGTTGGAGCAGCGACACCCTCGTTGGATGCACCTGGTGGCAGTCAACAGAATGCAACAGTTGCCTCGACCACCAAGTGAGGCGCATTCAATGATAACAGTTCAAAGTTCATACTCCTCTCTATCATTAGCAAGAGATTCTGTAGCGAAAATTCTTTATGCTCGTTCACGAACTCAAAAGAGAGTCTATTAGTTGTGTTCAATGTCTGTACGTCTGTTCGTGTACAATATATATTCGTATATAATCTCCCCTCCTTGGCAATTTTAGAGCTAAGATCCATAAACTATATGGAAAATCGTAAAACTTTAATTCTATTTGAAATGCACACTTAACATTTTTTGGATCGTGAACGAGCATTAGCCAGTCGGCTGTATCCGACTGCAGCGTTCTTACATGTAAAAACGAGTTTTAGCATAAGACCTTACTCCATTCATGAGCATTCTATCTTATCTCTACGTTATCGCTTAGAGATTGATTATTAAAAAACATAATAGAAAAAAAGAAAAGACCATTTACAAATATATTAAATAATTATTATTTATCATAATAAAACAAGTCTGATAAAGTGAACAATTTATACTTAGATTACAGCAGTAATAATAACAAATGGGGAAGTTGCTTAGAATGGGGGCTTGCACTCCATCATGGCCTTTGCACAATAATGCGGGAATTGTAGGCCTTGCAGCAGTACCTCGGCTACACCCTGTATGAAGCATAGAAAAGGCGTGATTAGAGGTGGCCATAAAACAGGGGTTTGCTATGATTTTTGCGGGTTCTTTTTTGTTTTTTATCATAAGACTAGTTGGCTTAGTTCTTGTGAGTAATGAGTAATGGAACAAAAATCTACAAAGCGCGATAAGCGATTCGCACCCGGCAACTAAACTATATATATATATATATATATATATAAATATGGGCAGACTGTGATATAATTTATATAATGAATAGTTAAGTGATGTCATCGTCTGTCTATGTAGATATGTCCTTACCGACAAGCCCGGAATGCACACAACAAGTGTATAGACGACGATGTAGCAGCAGGAACAGATGCAGGCCAAAGCCAAGGCAATGATCCAGAAGACCAAAAGCCAGAAAACAAACCACACTGGATTGCCCATCTTGAAGCGTTTATAAAAGATTTATTTGTTTAGCTGAAAGATAAGAAATGCGAAATGATAGAACGAGAGAAGCTTGAAGGAATAAGATAAGAGAAGTAGAAGTTTCAAAATATATGTTAGCAAATTGTTCAGAGTGGCTCTATACTATATCTATACTATAAAGCTTATCTTTCATTTTTGTTATAATATAATATATATAATAAAATATAATATATATATATAATATAATATATATATATATATATATATATAATATATGAATCATTAAAATTGATCTATAAAAATGATGATACACATATTTTATATATAATATATAATATATAATATATAATATATATATATTAAAAAATATGTGTATCATCATTTTTATAGATCAATTTCAATGATTCAATCTTTCATCAAAAGTTAGATAAGGAATTTTACAGGTAAGTCCCTTTTATATATATATCTATATTAATATCTATATATCTCTCTATATATATCTATATATATATATATATATATCTATCTATCTATCTATCTATCTATATATATACATATATATCTAGCTTATATGCATTTCAACTGTTATTTAATTACAAATTTCACTTTTCACCACAGAATTTGGCTTTGAAAACTGCGTGACAAACATTCGAATAACAGATTTGGTGTTGTTGACGTAAATAGATATGACGATATATCTGCCTATATAGCTAAGTAAGTAAACCGAGGTAAGGCTGCTAGTGTAATATGCACAATTTACTGTGTGACGCATACTTAACGTAATTCATCTAACATAAAGTACAAGTAAGTTCCACACAGTCTTATTAGACCCAAGACCAATTTACTTGAAAATATTCCAGAAAAATTTCCTAATACTTAAATGTTCAGCCTATTTAATGAACTGGTAATTGAAATTCTTGTAGTCTTAGAACAACTACAAGGTAAAGATTCGGGTCTGACGATTCTCTTTCAGCTTTGTTTTGTTTTGGTTTTCTTTTCTGCTTATATTTACGATCTTGCGTTGAATATTATGCAAATTAGCTAAGGCGTGAACGAATTCCTAATAAACAATTTTGTTGTATTTAAATTCAACTCTTAACTGTATTTCAATGAACGAAAAATTAGAATGCGTGTAGCGCTTATAAATACATTTAATTTCCTTTTTTTTTTGTTTTCTTCTTTTGATGCGCGCCTACGCCAAGTAATGCAAAGGAGGTAAATAAAAACAACAGACCCACCTTATGGAGCGCGAGAGAGACGGAGAGCGAGTGTGCGGCCGGTGCGACGTGCGAGTGATGCGAGATGCAAGCGACAACTAATAACAAAACTGGCGCAACAAGTTATAAGAAAGTGGTTGACAGGGTTGCCAGGCTTTGCAGATGTAGAAGCTTCGCGTTGCCTAAGAGTATGCAGAGCTTTATTTATGCATAGAACTCACTAAAAGCTTCTGACTAAAGACTTAGAGTAAATACCGCGTATCTTGAGTTAGAGACAACTCGATGGGAAGAAGAAGAACTTTGACCATAATTCCATAATTTATCGAACAAAAATGTAATCATATGTATATTTTGCGTAAATATGCTTAATTTAATTTAATGCCCATTGTTAGATAACAAAGAGATATAGCTTGTTATCTAAACATAATAAAATACCATTTTACAGGGTATACACACTTCGCAATCGCGATCAGTCGTTCGACCTGTAAAGACGTGAATTCGAACAGCCTTCGCTTAAGCTCTACTGCTGCAGAGTTCTAAAAATAGAACTTTGCGGTGCATTCTTCAACGCAACAGCAACAAAAACCGCACACGCAGCGTTTTCTTATCGCTTGCTTCCGCGTAACTCAATTGCTTTAATTGCAATTTACGAAATTTCGTCGCTTGGCGCGAGTGCGCCTGCACTCAAAAGCACAATCCGCGATGACATCTAATGTCAATAACCTCGCTACAGCTGTAAAGGTAAATGCAGAAATGCAAGCCCAGCTTAACGTTGTGATGGCAAATAGGCAAGCCTCCATCATGCCAATAAACTCAAAAATAGATATCGCCTCCGTGCAAGGCATCACTAACAACAAAAACACGAAACGTAAACAGCCAAATTCACCAAAAACCATCAAGAAAAGGCTCATCTTCGACGAACCAAGCACCAGCAATGCAGCATTAATATCAGAAAATCGATTTTCACTGCTCGTAGAAGAAGATGAAGACTACAGCGAATCACCTGTAGCTCCAGAAGCCCCAGTATTGACCGACCAGCAAACTACACCGAAACCTCGTCCGCCCCCCATATGGTGTCCAAACATCAAGTCTGTGGCCCTACTTCAACAGATAATAGATAAAGTAATTGATGCTAAATCATACGTAATTAAGCCAAAGAAGAATAACATAGGTGTATTAACCCAATGCAGTGAGGACTATCGCAGAGTTATAGACCACTTTACTAAGCTGGAATTGGAGTTCCACTGCTACCAGCTTAAGGAGGACAAACCATATAGAGTCGTGTTCAAAGGGCTTCACTCCAGCACTGATACAACACTAATTAAAAAGGAATTGGAAACCAAAGGCCACACAATTACAAATGTGCACAACCCACTGAGCCGTATGGACAAAACACCGCTAAATATATTTTTTGTTGACGTGGCTCAGGCCCCCAACAACAAAGAAATTTTGGACATTCGAGTTGTCTGCAGGCAACGCTGCACAGTGGAACTGCCAAGAAGATACAACGACCTGACACAATGCCATCGCTGTCAAGAATTTGGACACACACAACGCTACTGCCACAAAGCTCCCAGATGTGTGCGTTGCGCCGGGAAACACGCATCCAAAGACTGCACCCGCGAAAAGGACCAGGCACCAACTTGTGTGCACTGTGAGTTACAGCACCCAGCCAACTATAAGGGCTGCCAAGTATACAAGCGGTTGCGCAAATTGCAATCCCCAGCACAAAAAAGGAGTCCCACACAAACACCGTCTACGGGTCCGAGTACTGCTTCCGAAATTACAAGGCCCCGGAGCATTACCCAAGCCACGAGCTTTGCAACGCCTATTAGTGGTGTTTCTTACGCACAGGCCGCTAGAGGTGGACCGTCAAATAAGAATACCACAAGTGACACTTTGTTCACTGAAATGCTTCAGCAACAACAACGTCAGTTTGACGCAATTAATGCCGAGCTCAAAGCGATGCGAGAAGTACAATCCCAACAAGCAACCATGCTAAACAGTTTAATGGCCATCATAACCAAGCTTGCCTACAAATAATGGCTTTACGTGTGGGTATCTGGAACGCCAATGGCCTGAGAAACAAGACTCAGGAACTGGCTGCGTTTCTCTCACAAGAAAACATAGATATAATGTTAATAACAGAAACTCATGAGTGCCCCACTACACAAATTTTCGGATACGAACACTATCAGGCTCATGGTGAAGGAGCAAACTGCTTTGGTGGATCCTCAATCCTCATACGAGCAACAATACCGCATACACCTTTACTGCCAATTTGCAACGCAACAATGCAGGTCTCAGCCATCACCCTGCCTACGTCTATTGGAGCGATCGAAGTTGCGTCAATTTATCTTCCGCCAAACACTGGTCTGTGTGATCATCACATGGAACAGGTTCTAGGCCAAAGGTTGAATAAGACCCTCATCGGCGGCGACTGGAATGGATGGCACCCATTTTGGGGAAGCAATAGTGCGAATCGTCGCGGAGAAGTCATATTTGAGGCGATTCAAAACTTACAATTCAGCATATTGGCGACTGGAGCCCCCACCCGTTACCCAATTAATGGACACAGGCCCTCGGCAATCGACTTCGCTGTCTACAAAGGCATCTGTGACCGGCAATTGACCATTGAAGAATCCTTGGACCTATCCTCTGACCACCTGCCACTAATAGTCACAATCCACGCGCAGCCACAGCCCTTGCCCATTAGGAAACAACTACTGCCAGCAGGATCAGATTTAGGAGTCTTTAGGCGCGAGCTCCATTACTCTTTGCACATAGAAATGGAACTTAACACTCCTGAAGACGTGGACTACGCAGCAAACAAACTGCAGGAAGAAATAGTCAAAGCTGCGCACCAAGCCGCCCCACCATCTTGCCAAACAAGACAACAGTCTCCGTACAACATCCCCCTCACCTTGGAGGCCCAACACCTACTAATACACAAAAGATGGGCCAGGAGACGCTGGTTAAGATTACGCACGCCTGATGCCAAATCCATGTACAACGAAGCCACGAGGCATCTTAAAGCTGCTCTCGCCCTGCTTCAAAAGAGGTGTATCAGCGATGCGCTGGTACGAGCTGAATCGCCCACTGACGCAGAGTTTCAATTATGGAAATTTACAAGAAAGCTCAAACGGCAGCCAATACGACGTCATCCCATTCGGAGCATTTCTGGTTCCTGGCACATTGGAGACGAAGCTCAAGCTGAGGCTTTTGCAAACCACCTTCAAGACCAATTCACGCCGGTGATTACCGCAGAGGCCTCAGAAATCGAAGCAACAGAAGACATCGTTCTCTCGCCCCTCCCAGCTGAAGACCAGATAACTGGATGTACAAAAGAAGAGGTTCTTGAACACATCAGAAGAGTGAAGGCAAAAAAATCCCCTGGATATGATCTAATAAACGGCAGAGTCCTTAGAGCACTGCCTGACTCCACCATAGACTACATAACTATGGTGTACAACGCCATGCTCCGCATCCGGCACTTTCCAGCCTGCTGGAAGCGCGCCGTGATTGTGATGATTCCTAAGCCTGGCAAACCCGTGGGAGAAATTGAGTCGTACAGACCAATTAGCCTGTTGCCAGTACTCTCCAAAATATTCGAAAGAATATTTCTGGAACGAGTACTGACACATCTGGGACGCCAGGAGGCCATTCCAAACCATCAGTTTGGCTTCAGGAGACAGCATGGAACACCGGAACAGGTTCACAGAGTTGTGCACCATATCCTTGGAGCCTTTGAAGAAAAGATGTACTGCTCTGCCGTCTTTTTAGACATCAAACAGGCGTTTGATCGAGTTTGGCACCTGGGACTGCTGCAGAAAGTGAGGACCACCCTTCCAGCCCCATTTTTCGCGTTGCTATCCTCATACCTTATTGGAAGAACCTTCCAAGTGTCAAGGGGGCAAACAGTATCCTTGACTAGACCAATTATGGCTGGAGTACCACAGGGTAGTGTTCTAGGCCCAACACTTTATACTTTATTCACAGGAGATATGCCAACTCCCGAGCCAAATATAGGAAGTACAGATGCAGTACTCATAGCGACCTATGCAGATGACACCGCCATCTTATCACGTCACGTATCTGCGCAAGAAGCTTCAGACTCACTACAAAAATATCTGGACTCTTTCGGACGCTGGGCAAAACGGTGGTGTATCACCATTAATGCACAAAAGTCTGTACATACTACCTTCGCCACTAGAAGAGGAGATTGCCCAAGCGTTGCATTGGGGCCCACTATTCCCAAAGCCTCAAAAGTAAAGTACCTTGGTATCACTCTTGACAGAAGGCTGACTTTTAAAGCGCACATAAGTCAAGTAACCTCAAAATGCAAAAGCAAGCTAAAAACCCTCGACTGGATGCTGAGAGCTTCAAGCAAGTTGTCTTACAGCAGCAAGGCCGCCATCTACAAGGCAATAGTTGTCCCAACCTTCGTATATGGTATCTCTCTATGGGGCTCCTCGGCGAAGACTACAAGGAACAAAATTCAGACCCTGCAGAATAAAGCACTACGCAGATGGACTGGAGCCAGCTGGTTTGTAAGAAACTCAGTCTTACATAGGGATTTAGCAATTCCCACAGTTGCTGAACTCATTGGGCGACACAGTTCAAGATACGCGGACAGACTTGCAGCGCATCCTAACCATCTCGCAAGCAACCTGGCTATAAACAACAATAGGCGAAGACTGAAGAGATTGCATCCTCTAGACAATATTAGAACTAATTAAGATAGTAGCTACAAGTGCAGAATAATTGGCATATCTGCCCTCCCATTAGTTAAGGTTTAGAGCTAAATGCGCTATAGAGTCTAAGACAATAAGCTGCAACAAAATAAAGAAATAAAAACGAAAAAAAAAAAAAAAAAAAAAAAAAAAAAAAAAAAAAAAAATACACACTTCGCGGAGCATTTTGGTTTTCTATGCGAACTTGTCACACAGCTTACAAAATGTTTTCAGCTTTGTGCACAGGCAAAAGCACACAACCAGCTGCAAGCTGCAAGACTGTTATACGTTATATTAATAGAAGAAGGCTAAGCTTTTGCACACAGCTGAAGCCGAAAGCTTTGCATCTAATGTTTTCATA